GCATGACTTTTTTAAAAACATCGGAAATGAAGCTCTTAATATTATTAATTGGTATGACATTATGTCTAGTGACACTATTGTTCATCATCGTCATCATCATTATAATGTCGTCAGTCCTAAGACTGGTTGGACACGCACCTCCATCTTTCCTATACTGAGCTAATCTTCCCATTTCACTAAAACTATATCAACCCACATCCTATTACTATTTGCAAACAGTAATATAATCTAGGCCTACCTGTACCCCTGCTAACTTCCGTTTCTGCCTCTAATATGTCTCTGACTAGACCTTCATGCCTGAGAAGGTGTCCTACCAATCTATCTCACCTATTACTTATTGACTTCCATAGAGTCGTCTATTCTGCTATTCTTTCTAATACTTCTTCATTTCTAACCTTCTCTATCCACGGTATCCTCATCATTCGCCGGTAACACTGCATTTCGAACGCTTCTTAATAAAAAGAAGTCAGTTCTATGCTCGCGAACGGTTAATTTAGAAATTCGAAAAAGATTGTTAAAGGTGTATGTTTGGAGCGCGGCGGAAAAAAAAGGATTAGAAGCATTCGAAATGTGGTACTACAGGTGATTGATGAGGATACCGTCGATAGAGAAGGTTAGAAATGAAGAGGTATTGGAAAGAATAGGAGAACAGAGGACTCTATGGAAGTCAATAAAAAATAGGCGAGATAGGTTGGTAGAACACCTTCTCAGGCATGAAGGTCTAGTCAGAGACAGAGACATATTAGAGGCAGAAACAGGAGTTAGGAAAAGTGGCGGTTCGTGTTCAACCAGTCTTAGGATTGACGAACTTATGCTGATGATGATAAAGGAACTATTTTTGAATTCGTTAATAACACATTATCGCACATCCCTGACTCGGATCGAGAAGGAAATTCGTCCCTACTTTAAAAACTTGTGGAAATACATCAAGTATCTAAAATTCTACAACGATCTCCCGGTAACCCCGTGTAGTTAGTAATGGCTGGGACATCTGCCTGTTACTTTCTTTACATTTTAAATCTGTAAACTTCGTCGTAACGTCCCCCTTCCAAGTGACTTTTTTGATACTGATAACGATGCTATTTTCTTTTCTACCACTATCTCACCCGAAGAAATAATCAATGCATCTTGCCCCCCCCACCCTTTTCATTAAATGTTCATCTTCAATAAACCTGTTTCAATCAAGACCATTCCTCAGATCAGGAAAATGACGTACATTATTCCTATTCATAAAGATGGAAACCGTAACAATGCTTAAAACTACAGCTACAACTACATTCCGAAGCTCTTAATCTCAATCATAGCAGACTAACTGAAACCATTGGCTTCAATATTATTATTTCGGAAGGACATGACTTATGCAAAGGCATTACCAACTTATTACTGTTTACAACTGAGATTTTGTCCGGTTTCAACAATAAGTACACCATGTATCTTTCTGAAATTGATAAGGTCAGTACGTACTGGGAAAAAAAGATTTAATTTTCCCCTCCAACCGAGATTAGCATGCAGAGCTTGTACAGCTTAGTTTTGTAAACCATCATATTCTTTTTACATTGCTCTTTTATAATAAATATCTGATTTATTTTGATTATGTAACACTGAAAAAACCTTCGCTTATTCTTTGCACAACTTGAAAATAAAACCACAAAAAAATTAATCGCTTTGGTGAAGATAGTGCCTTGTGTTCATATTTCAATTAATTGTCAACACAATTCATTAGGCCATAATCGATACGGATTTGTCGTCGATCCTGAGCTTTTGTATAAAACGAGTAATTAATTTAGTTATCTAAGTTGAGATTTAGCGGAGGTTATATTCCCGTATTGAATTCGTTTTACTACATCGCAGGGTAGAAAGGACAACGCATCTGCGCACCCCAACTGCTCGGTCATGGCTTCGGTGTTCGGCACGTTTTACCCGATAATTTTTCAGTTACAGCTCGTTCTCTCCGTGCTTTTCATCCATCAAAACACGACCAATAATAAAGAGTCGAAATAAAAAAATACATCCGGAATTGTCAATATGTGAATGCGCAAAAAGAGGTGCAAAAGAATGGTGCGCCATGCCGGAAAAGTGTAAACAAAAATACATCGACATAGCACGACGCGCTCCAAAATTTAAGAAGCGTAATAAATGTAAGAATAAGAAGAGACGAGCAAAGAAAAGCTCATGTAAACAAAAGAAAAGAAAGAGAAGTAAATCGAGAGGAGGTTGTAGTCGAAAAAGTAAAAGAAGTTGTGGTGGACGGAAACGTCCAACTTGTCGGAAAAGATTATGAAAACAATAATTTGCGTTTTGTTTCTCGTCCTTACATGAAAAACGGGTTCATTACGATAGAAAAAAATAAAAATTCGATTGGTTTGTAAATGGTAAAATTGTCTTTGGTAATCTAATGTAGGGGTTTTATCAGAACGTTTTATTATCTACACATCACACATCATTGTGTAAACGTCTCTATACATGTGTTATCATTGTAGTAATGTTACATACTGTCCTTTAGTAAACATGCCTATTTTGATACCTAGATATTTTTAGGTTTTTAGTTTTTATAATAATATACACATTGTTTTGAATTATGAATGAAATAAAATGTAACTAATTTTCATAAATTTTGTTGATTTTATAGGAATATTTTCTACTATAAACAAGTTGAATACAAAAATTTCTTAAGGCGTTCTTACCTTACATTATTAAAATATATATAAGACGTTCCAATAATAGTACTTACAATTAGTTATATAGTGTTCAGCATGACTTTTTTAAAAACATCGGAAATGAAGCTCTTAATATTATTAATTGGTATGACATTATGTCTAGTGACACTATTGTTCATCATCGTCATCATCATTATAATGTCGTCAGTCCTAAGACTGGTTGGACACGCACCTCCATCTTTCCTATACTGAGCTAATCTTCCCATTTCACTAAAACTATATCAACCCACATCCTATTACTATTTGCAAACAGTAATATAATCTAGGCCTACCTGTACCCCTGCTAACTTCCGTTTCTGCCTCTAATATGTCTCTGACTAGACCTTCATGCCTGAGAAGGTGTCCTACCAATCTATCTCACCTATTACTTATTGACTTCCATAGAGTCGTCTATTCTGCTATTCTTTCTAATACTTCTTCATTTCTAACCTTCTCTATCCACGGTATCCTCATCATTCGCCGGTAACACTGCATTTCGAACGCTTCTTAATAAAAAGAAGTCAGTTCTATGCTCGCGAACGGTTAATTTAGAAATTCGAAAAAGATTGTTAAAGGTGTATGTTTGGAGCGCGGCGGAAAAAAAAGGATTAGAAGCATTCGAAATGTGGTACTACAGGTGATTGATGAGGATACCGTCGATAGAGAAGGTTAGAAATGAAGAGGTATTGGAAAGAATAGGAGAACAGAGGACTCTATGGAAGTCAATAAAAAATAGGCGAGATAGGTTGGTAGAACACCTTCTCAGGCATGAAGGTCTAGTCAGAGACAGAGACATATTAGAGGCAGAAACAGGAGTTAGGAAAAGTGGCGGTTCGTGTTCAACCAGTCTTAGGATTGACGAACTTATGCTGATGATGATAAAGGAACTATTTTTGAATTCGTTAATAACACATTATCGCACATCCCTGACTCGGATCGAGAAGGAAATTCGTCCCTACTTTAAAAACTTGTGGAAATACATCAAGTATCTAAAATTCTACAACGATCTCCCGGTAACCCCGTGTAGTTAGTAATGGCTGGGACATCTGCCTGTTACTTTCTTTACATTTTAAATCTGTAAACTTCGTCGTAACGTCCCCCTTCCAAGTGACTTTTTTGATACTGATAACGATGCTATTTTCTTTTCTACCACTATCTCACCCGAAGAAATAATCAATGCATCTTGCCCCCCCCACCCTTTTCATTAAATGTTCATCTTCAATAAACCTGTTTCAATCAAGACCATTCCTCAGATCAGGAAAATGACGTACATTATTCCTATTCATAAAGATGGAAACCGTAACAATGCTTAAAACTACAGCTACAACTACATTCCGAAGCTCTTAATCTCAATCATAGCAGACTAACTGAAACCATTGGCTTCAATATTATTATTTCGGAAGGACATGACTTATGCAAAGGCATTACCAACTTATTACTGTTTACAACTGAGATTTTGTCCGGTTTCAACAATAAGTACACCATGTATCTTTCTGAAATTGATAAGGTCAGTACGTACTGGGAAAAAAAGATTTAATTTTCCCCTCCAACCGAGATTAGCATGCAGAGCTTGTACAGCTTAGTTTTGTAAACCATCATATTCTTTTTACATTGCTCTTTTATAATAAATATCTGATTTATTTTGATTATGTAACACTGAAAAAACCTTCGCTTATTCTTTGCACAACTTGAAAATAAAACCACAAAAAAATTAATCGCTTTGGTGAAGATAGTGCCTTGTGTTCATATTTCAATTAATTGTCAACACAATTCATTAGGCCATAATCGATACGGATTTGTCGTCGATCCTGAGCTTTTGTATAAAACGAGTAATTAATTTAGTTATCTAAGTTGAGATTTAGCGGAGGTTATATTCCCGTATTGAATTCGTTTTACTACATCGCAGGGTAGAAAGGACAACGCATCTGCGCACCCCAACTGCTCGGTCATGGCTTCGGTGTTCGGCACGTTTTACCCGATAATTTTTCAGTTACAGCTCGTTCTCTCCGTGCTTTTCATCCATCAAAACACGACCAATAATAAAGAGTCGAAATAAAAAAATAATCAATCCGCCTCGATAATCACCGAGTGAAATCAAACGTGTCAGACTATCTCAAACGCATGCCGGTTACGTAGGAAAAGTTGTTTTGCTTTATCAAAAATTCAGACTGCGTCAGGAATACCGTGAACCCAACGGCGCAACGCTAAATGAACATATGTACATAACCAGTTGTACGTCAGTGTCACACAGTTCCACCGCCGCAATAGCAAGCAATTCAAATTAATAAAGTGTATTTTACGGTATTTTGCTTTATCAGTTCGTCATGACCTAGCGTGACAAACGACACGCAACCAAGATGGCGCTAGCCACGGTCACAGGCAAAAGAGTGAACTTTTCCGAGTGAGAGTGAAGTGGAGAATCAACGGGACGCATGTGCCGTGTTGGGAAAAACTCGAACGTGCGTTGTTATTGTTACAGTCTTGCCACCACATTATTGTTATTGCTGAGATTTTTTTGTCCGTATACAAGATCGACAACCGACCTGTGAATTTTTATGTTCGGATCGATAGTTAGATTTTACGCCGTGGCTGCTTTTAATGATAATAATTTAAACTAGACCGATGCACGGCGTATCGCACGGGCATACACAAGCCACTGAACGTAATCACGTATGCTATCTACAGGTAACCTTCGACTAATTGTCCGAGATGGTACGTCAACTGTGTGTTCTCGCTACGAAACGCCGCAACAAAAGGAAGAAACACAGGTGTACTTTGAATGCAATTTCCATGCAATTAAGAACAATTACGAATTTACAGTGTAGACTATTTAGGTCTATACCATATGTACATTAGGATCAATGGTATCGCACTAAAGATCAGTGTTTTGTAAATTATGCAATAACAGACCCAACAGAATACAATAAACAAAAAAAACGTTAATATACAATTAATCCAAAGTGGATAATGTTGACATTACTATTTCTGTTATGGTCAATAATACGTGGAATAAAAAACAATCCTATCAACAAGTGTTCGGATAATTCCAACTGTAGCCAAGCAGGCTCTACCAAAGACGTTCCAAATGTAGCTGAAGATACATCCGAAGTGCCTAAAAGTCCTCCCTCATCCCATCCAAATCGTCCTTCTAACGAACCTCCACAACCTGTTGGACCTTCATCCGATGTTTCTACGCAAACTGTAACCTCTCCAGCGCAGTCCCCGGAACCCGATGTACCCAGTGAAATTTCGTCCGTTACCAAAACTGGGGATTGCAGTCGACGTTCCTTAATGTCCTCCTCGAGATATTCGATTATTTCGCGTGAATCTTCCTTAGAAATTGGAGGTGAAAGTCGTCCTTCGGTAACCAGTTTGTCTTCGTATTCGTCCTCCAGAATATTTGGACAACGTTCCATGGATTCCAGAGCGAGTGTAAGCAGTCTTTGGTCTTCGGACGTATCCAGAAGGGACTCCGAGGCAATACCGGAACATGAAATTGATTCGAGTGATTCCAGAGCATCCTATCAATCGGCAGGCAGCCTCCTTTCGTCTAACGGGACCAGGAAGTATTCGGACAGCTCTATAAGGAGGCGGAGATCCTCAGGAAGACCTACTCTAGTGAAGAGGTACATCAGGAGATATCCGTTAAGTTATGATAGGAGACGTACAACGGGGAGGTTTGTATATTCGAAAGGGAGATGTAGTGATGCCAGATAGTTAGAGCACTAGATAGCAGCAAATTAGAAAATACATTTCTTTTACGTTTTACGAAGGTTTATAGGAAAATATAACCATGACGATACCCCACGCCATTTTAGCTAAATGCACACACAGAAAAGGCGAAGACATATTTTTGTAAATAAATACTGAACAAATTATATTGATATTTCACATCAATACATACCTTATATTATATATAAAAGGAATTATGAGTGCTGTCAGCACAGGCCAAGTAGTATTACGAATTAGTTAGTATCAGCAATTTCTTATGCTGAAGTGTACGATGTGTTGCATACCTATTTACAAACAATTCCTTTAAATATAATTTTTCAAACAATTTTTAACACAAAGAAAGTGATTGCACAAATTGTTCATAAAAGTGAATTTCGACCACTCGAAGCAATGGTGCTTACAGTGACTGATAGGGGGGAAGAACTTGTACTTACAAATTTACTATACCAAAGTATTTACAGAATACCCATTTTTTTGAATAATTAATTTACAACTACATACTTTAAAATTATTAATACTTAAATACTTGCAAGCTATTCTTTTAAAAATTACCATTTTTTGGAATCTGATTCGATTCATTTGAAATTGTTTACAACCTAAAAGTTTTATGGAATGGAAAACTGTTTTACGTCATACCTCTTAAAGAATTTTTACAAATTGATTTTAAAAATCGTAAACGGCTACAGAAGATGAAAGATACCAAAAAAGTTTGATACAAAACTTTCTATTTGTACATTTTCGTATGAATCTAAGCTTGATGAACCCTGGTAATAGCAGGTATTAAAAAGAGAAGAAAAAATTAAATATTTTTGAAATGGGACCCCACAACTTTTTACATACACGATACCTTCGATAACAAATCCTAAAATTCAACGATAAGTACCTGTAAGGGATCCTTTATATTCATGGCAAAGAAAAATTAGCAGAAGCTGTCGTAGACTCCTCTCTCGAAATATAATATAGATAAGTTAGATAGTATATCTAAAACCTTGATTACAGTTTTTAATTTGCACAGGTATTAATTCAAAAATAAAGTACCTAACAGTATTTCCTACTTCGAAAATATCCTTCTTTTTGTAATAATGTGTTGAAACTAACGCTTAATGATAACAGAATTTTGTTTATCTTGTACTAACACTTTTCCATTTCTTTGAAAGGTGTGGTGATTATTATTAATCCTCAATCAATACGTATACATATAAATTCATTTAAAATCTCCCAATATACACATAGGTATTAGGCCTTATCAATTTGCGATAACAGATAGATTAAGTTTATAGTCTTGTCTTAAATTGCACCAGTTTTAGTAAATTAAATTCTGTCAGTGCGATACTCTGATTTAGTGGTGTGGAAATATGCCAATAAACATTCAGTTACGGTCCCGGTATTCTTACAGGAGAAATTCGGATTTTATACCCAGACGGGTTAGAGAACTCCGTCAGGTTTACGAAGGGTAAGATAGCAGTTGACGTCGTATACATATTTACGTACATATCTACATGTTTATGTAGAAAATTTGACAAAATTCTACTGCATTTCGGTAGGAATTTTTCTATCAAAATAATTCTTGCTAATATATTGATTATCAGATTCATTATTAATTCAATGTTCATAAGGGATCTACAGTTGTTACAATTGCTTTGTTACTGTCGTTAATACTAATGAAGAATTAAGCGAATACTTTATTTAAAACTACCATGTTTATTAATGTTTTAGTTAAGAAAAGGAACGAATTAATCATGCAAGGAAGAATAAATTTATGGATAAGATGAGATATTGAGCGAAAACTATAAAAACATACTCGTTCTTCCTGATACATCTAATCAATTCCGGAACCTAATATAACAAAATATTTATAGATAGAATAGAATTAGCATTTTTATGAATTTAGCTTTACGTTCCAACATTTTACAACTCTTTTACTGACTTTTCCAAGTATGTAATTATATTTGAAATATTGGTCTATTTTATTTATAAGCAGTCACTTCGTTTTCAAAAAAAGTTTACAGTTTTTTCGAAAGATCTTGTAGAAATGTACATTACTTTTTATTTTTCTAACTTTATCGTATCAGTTTTTTGAACTCACGGTAATTAAGAACGAAATCGGCAACAAAATTTAGTAAACAATTTCAAAAGTGAGTACTTATTTTATTTTGAAGGGCATCTTGACAGCTCATATTCAGATGATATTTTCACTAAAATGTTTTTTTACTTCATTTATAAAATATGTACCTACAGTAAAATAATTGACAGTGAAAATAACCTTGTCGTCAATTACGATTATTATTATTATCATTCCTAACGAGTTTTACAATAACTTTGTCTCGGTCTTAATCTCTTCCCATTAATGTGATGAATTACTTGTTTGTCAATTTGAAGTTCCGTTGTTAGGTATTTAAGCGTAAGACAGATGGTTTTTGCATATCAGTTAGCTTTTTAAATAATATGAATACTTTGCACTGTAGGATGGGTTTTGCAAAGGCCCAGAATCAATTAATTTGTACTATTCTCGGTTTGGTAGTTTAGTTTTAGTAAAGCATTATTATAGAAAAGTGAATTATGCTCTCTTAATTATGCCTCATCATCATAAGGTCGTCAGTCCTAAGACTGGTTGGACACGTACCTCTACTCTTTCCTATCCTGAGCTAAACTTCGCGTTTCCCTAAAACTAGAACAGCTCACATCCTTAACTATTTGCGAAAAGTAATCTAATCTAGGTCTACCTCTACCCCTCTTAACTCCTGTTTCTGCTCTAATTTATCTCTGACTAGACCTTCATGCCTGAGAAGGTGTCCTACCAACATATCTCGGCAATTTTTTATTGACTTCCATAGAGTCCTCTGTTCTTCTATTCTTTCTAATAGCTCTTCATTTCTAACCTTTTCTACCCACGTTATCCTCATCATCCGCCTATAACACCACATTTCGAACGCTTCTAACCTTTTCTTTTCCGCCGCGCCCACTGTCCATGTTTCCCACCCGTACAACCTTGTGCTCCAAACATACACCTTTAACAACCTTTTTCGAATTTCTAAATTAACCGTTCGCGAGCATAGAAGTGACTTCTTTTTATTAAAGGCGACACGACTCTGCACTGTCCTCTGCTTTATATCCCTACTACTCCTTCCATCCTGACTTATCTGACTTCCTAGGTATCTAAAATCAGCCACTTCTTCTAATTTTTCGTCTCCTATCTTTATATTCGCTCTTTCCCTATGATCAAAATAACTAAAAACACTTCGTCAACAAAAAATAAGAGTTATTTATTCATTACCTACAGAACAGTCCCCTATCTTCATTTTCACACTCGTACAGAGCCGTGCCCAGCCATACACCTTTAACAATCTCTTTCGAATTTCTAAATTAAGCATAAAAGTGACTTCTTTTCTTTTTCTACTGCTTTCCCTATTACTTATTATCCGTAAAATTAAAATGACTTCCCGCGTTCCTCTATTTCTTCTAAACCCAAATTGGTTTTCCCCTAGTTAAAATTTTTGACGCATGAGAAGTTAAGTTAATTGTTCTAAATTTCTAGCATTTATCCGAGCCTCTCTTTTGATATGGCTACTACTACATTTCGTTTGTAGTCTTCCGAGACTTTCCCCGTCTCGTATATCTAACTAATTAGCCTCTTGTCCTGCATGTTTCAATATTTCCGCCTGTATCCCAGCTATACCTAATGCATTAAAATTCCTATACAATCTTCACTTTCACACATTTAGAGATTGAATTTCGAAAACTCCCTTCGTAGTGTGCAACCAGAAGCCAATAGAACTGAAGATTATTTTTTATCTTTACCGTATCTCACTGAGTTACCAATTTAAGAAGAAGTAAACATAATGTAAATTCGTTTAATAATACAATTTATTCAGTGGATGTCTTTGTGCTGCTGATTGTTGAAATTCCTGTATGCATCTTAAATACCTCTGCATAATTGCCTGTTAAATAACGCTTAATAAAGCCATCCAATGGTTTTTTATTCATAACAATTTTTATTGATTTATTATGAGAATATATATATATCTGTAGGGTTTTATTTATGTGAGAGATTCCCAAAGTGGTCTACCGTAGGTGTTGACTCTAAAGTGCAAAGGTAAAAATTAGACGTGCATGAGATGTGAGTGCTCGAATCTGATTTAAGCAGGTTCTGATCGAAATATCGACTTTCCATAAATGTAATAGTCCACATAGCTTATGCAGTAACTATGTAGATACTCAGATACCTAATACTTTCTTATTAAAACATATTTTCTAAATTTTTAAAACATAAATGTTTGTAAAACAAATCGAAAATTTGGGAGTAATGCTTTAATTATGAGAAAATTCGAAATCGGTGGTGGAATCAGCTGTCAAGAAAATTTTTGAAATTGATGAATTGGCACGCAGAAAATTTTAAATCTACATACATCAAAATATATTGTAAATCATCTTTATGATAAAAAAGACAGAAACGCCTCAAATTTTCAATAAATTACTGTCTCAGTGCCAAAAAGTATTTTTATTATTTTTAGTAGATTTTCTTTTTATACATCTTTCTAACAGATAAATCTTCTAATCTACTTTTCACCCACGTTCCACTGTTCGACTAATCTCCAATTTGGCAAATATATATGGATTTGGTGACAAAATTATGTCTATTTGTAAATATTCATTATTTTTTCATCTCATTTTAATAATACATTAGTCCTAAATACCTTCATCACTTTAAACATCTAAACGTTTTACGAAAATTTTAAAAGATAAATGATCAAGTGTATAATCGTACAGAAAAAAATAACAACAAAAAAAGTTCAACAGATTATTAGTTAAGTAATCCTAACTAAATTTGCTTATTACGATTTCACGCCTTAACTACTCAACACATTGCCAGGGATGCAGAAAAAGACATACGGTATCCAGAAAAAAATACCGATCCCAAGGGATAGTAAAATTAGCTGTATGTGTTAGTCGATAATCTTTTATACGTACTCAAGATATCAACGCGAGCGAAACCGCGGGTAAAATCTAGTAATTAAATAAAGTCAGATCATAAAATGCTAAAGTACTGAACTATTACAAAAAAAAAGCCACTAACATACTAACAATATTCGGACGTTGTATATAATTAGCTATAATTAGGACAAATTTTATCCCTACTTCCCGAGATAAAAATGTTGAGTGTCTCAGAGTCTTTGAAAGCGAGACTCGAGTCTCCGTCTCTCATCGAGTCTCTCTGGTGTCGTTAAGAGAGACTGTCGAGAGACTGTCAAAAAAACTGTTTAGCGTCGCTGAACGAGAGACTCGAATCTCTCAATAAGTTGTGTCTCGATAGACATGGTTAATATTTCTTAAGTTCAAAATATTTTAAAGATCCCAGTCTCTGAACGAGAGACTCAAATCTCTTAATTTTTCAGTTTTATTCATTCAGTCTCTCTCTGAGACTCGAATCTCTAAATTAACAATTTTATCGTTCGAGTCTCTCATACAGAGACTGTGAGAGATCCATAAAAACACCTAGGTAATAACAGAGAGACTGCGAAAGACTGTGAGAGACACTCTTAGGGACGCTGAAAGATTCTGAAAGACTGAAAATTTTTGTCTAGGGTTATTAAGTGAGGTATAGTAGCGCACCAATATACCTATGTACAGGGGCGCAACAAGGGGGGTGATGCACGGGTGCCCGGGCACCCAGTCGATTGAGTTGGACACCCAGTCGATTCAGATAATAACCCAACTTGAAAGTTCGGTTCAAATAGTTTAAGCTCGTAAATGAGCAGCCGAACTCAATCTTTTCAATACAATACATTCGTGACCTTTGTTTTTTAGTCATTTATAGTATTATGATGGGAGCACCCAGTCAAACTGCAACGTTGTTGCGCCCCTGCCTATATAGATTTCCGAAGCACATTAATTTGATAGGTAGCAATATTATACTCTTCAAAATCGTGAACATTTTTTCTTGCTTCTTCTTTATAATTGCAATGTTTTACAATAAATGCAAATATTGTAGAATTAAGGTAAGTACATAGTTAAAAAAATCAATTTTAGTCAGACACAGACCCGATAATTAAGCTTATATGTTGTTAATAAAATATACCAACCCCCAAAGACTAAAAAGAAACGGGATATTTACAAATACATAAGCTTTTTATTTATTAATTCTGGCATCTGTTTCTATCTGTAGCATTTTATCTGACATCTAACAGAATAGTTTTGTGATTAATGTTACTTAAATAAAAATAATTACAAAAAACATCCCCCAAGGTGTCTCTAATAAATATCCAAATCAAATTGACTCATCTGCGTCATATCTTTCCGTAATTAAAATATATTTCTAGCGTTTTATTTTACAAAGTAAAATGTTTCCCTATTGGAAATATTAATATTTTTAAATGTACCATTTAGTACACTTTATTTTATAAGGCTTTCTTTTAGAAGTCCGCTTACAAATATTTGGTTATTTATTATCCTGTTATTAATGTTAAATGACAAGCTTTTAACACTAGTTCTTCTTTTTAGTTTTGATGTTGAAAATGGAGCTAGTCCTGGCCGCAGTCCATTGGATGGCGCCGCTTCGCCATCCGGTGCATTGGTCCTTCAAAATCTTCCCCAAAGGAGGGAAAGTTTTCTTTATCGGTCGGACAGTGACTTTGAAATGTCACCAAAGTCGATGTCCAGGAATTCGTCCATTGCAAGTGAAAGGTAAGATACTATATATAAATATATACCAAGTATTGATAGGGGCAGATTTTGCTCATATTAAAATTACTAAATTACTTAATTATAAACCTTCGCTTATCAGGTTAAAACGTGATAATTTTGGTAATTAATGTTACCAGTCTTTATTAATTTTACCTTCCTTACGTAAACACAAATTAACATATTCAATGCCTATTATGTTTTGCTGTTCATTGATTTAGTATGTATATGTATACGTCGATAAGTCCTTAATATATTATCACATTTTTAAATAACGATAAGATAACAGAATAGAAAAATTTAGTAAACAATATAAAGAGGTTATTTTTTTTTAGAGTATGTCGGATTCGATCTTTTTATATAGCATAGCTTATTAAACAGCTTATCAAAAGATTTAAATCTCGAGTTACACGTATTTCCCCATTGTTATCGTTATTAAAGAGGTCAAATACAGAAAACAATTAATACGATAACAATAAAAAAAAATAAGTAGCAACGTTTTAAGTGCGAACATGATGTTTTATATACAAAATAATGTCGTCTCATCAGTAAGAGGCGCCTGGCTTAAAAATAATTATTATCTAAACCCGGCATTGATAAAATAGAAAGAAATAAACGATCCTTCTCCTATCTAATTAGACGTATGTTATAATGTAAGATATTAAATAATGTTGGTACATTTTTATTACTTTTAAACAACAAGGCATTACGCTAATCTATCAAGTTTTCTAGCTGCTTGTAATTTAACTGACAAAATCGCAGGATTACGTTGATCATGAATAGTGTAACGAAGGATAGAATTGTAATTTGATTCATTTTAAGTAAATCGTTTAGTATGATCTTTCGGAAAGTACTTTCGGATAATTTCGTTATGGAAACTATATAAAAGTTTTTTAAATTTGGTGCTCGTGTTCAAAGTTGCGACCTCTACCGTCCAGTGGAGCAGTAACGTTGTAAGTAATCATTAAAGTTGGCTGCTTCTATAGCTTTCAAAAGTCGCCGTTTTACTCGGTCTTAGCCACTGGTTTACAGATGGCGCCATCATTACTGTTTTTGTATTAAATTTAAAATTTAAGAAAAATAGGTGTAACATTTAAAATAGAATCCAATAGATTGAAAATGTGCTGTCTATTTCTTTATTATTGAAAAATTGTAATACTTAAGTGTTTTTTGAACGTTAAACATTTAAAATTCATTTTATTTTAAATTCTGTTTACTTAATATCAGTACGCAATATTTTTCAGTAAACAAAAATCTTTTTTGTAATTATTTCCCACTACTGTAGTAAAAAACAGCAAAAATCGCCAAATAAGTGTTTATATTCTTGCAACTATTGGAATCTTATTTTTAAAGGAATTGCATTTTAGATTTTGCGCTCAAATTTTTACGTACCTAATGTAATCTGAAAGGGTAATAAATGAATTAATTAAAGCTCTTCCCACATACGGAAACATATGTTTTTCGTAAAATTTCGCTTTTAAAATAAGTGCAGATATGTAGTAGTGAGTTGATTTACGTATGACGTATGAATCGAGGCCTAAATGACGGCTAATACCAAATGAAAATTTTGCTCTTCACCGTACGAACAATCGCCACAATGTTGTATTGTTGATAAGCTTTATACTATCTGTGTTTATCAACCGACATCATGTACTCTGTCTATTGGGCTTATTCTCTATTTACTTTTAAAATTAAGTTATGCTAATTAATTTGTGTTGGCTTTTATTTGGCAACTTTTACTCCGTTTCTGGTGATCCTTACATTGTACTGTTTTCCAGATTCAAGGAGACTGAGAACGTATTGGATCGAGCGTATGTATAGTAGATCCTTGCTGTGTTTCGTATGTTTTTTCTTAGTGTTTTCTGATGTAGTGATATAGCGTTTTATGGCCTGCAAAGTAACACGAGCGTGCCTTTACTGTAGCAAACGCATAACTAAGCGACAACAATATTGTTTCGGACTGTAAATATCAAAAAAATTACCAATAGCATATTAAATGCTTCATAAGCTATTGTTATTTAACAGTTTAAAGATGGTTTCCCAAAAAATTAAATAACACGAAATAATTGATTCATTGAGCATTGATCGTCCTCTGCTCCTATTAGTCTGCAATATTTTACTTATAATAATAATTTATTTATACGATAAAATCAAGGGAAGGTGGTGGTAACAAACAAAAATTAAATTAAAACTTTATTTGAAGCATAAAGATGTATTTGAAATAATTAAAAAATTGTGGAATAATTAAGAATTTAAATCCTACTGATTCTCCGGAAATAAAATGAAGCACCTAAAAGTGAAATGAGTTTTATATCCCCTTCCGAATTAGCGACTTATCTCACCCTTTTCTGTATTTCACATAAAAAACAAGTCAAACCAATTATCACTTATTGAGTTACCTAAGTTACTAAAAATTAAGTAGAGACCATCCAAGTATTACGTAAACACGGCTCCAGTTTTTTTTCAGTTTTTTGACGATGGTGATGTAAAAGAGTTATGAAAATTAAATGAAAATATTTCAATTGACAAGCTTAGGTAATTGTATAAATATTTTTTAACATGTAGGTAGTATTAAAAGATAAATAAGACTATGTTACGTAGTTAAGTAGGCAGAAAATTAATTTTTTATTTTGAAAAGTCCACTTTTCTCAAGATGCTTCATTAATTACAACAACAAAAGCCAATGTTCAGTTTATTAGCTCCAGTGCAATGTTAAAGGAAACAAAATATTCTAAATTGTAATACGTATATATTACAATGTAACGTTGACTTATGCTTCTATAAATCCTAATACGATATACTATTTTTAGCAGAATAAATTTAAAATATAACATACAATTTCAATATTTAGTTTAAATGCTACGTATCATTCGAGAACACATGCATTTCCCAGAATAATGTTATTTGGAACAAATATTAGCATTATAACAAAACATTAAATTAAATTGAATTGTTAAATTAATAATTAATTTAAAATTACACTGCGTATCAATCGTTCATTTTACAAAATGGGCGAACCAAATCAAAAAAAAATTAACTAACGATAATCATAATTTTTTCTATTGGCGTCGTTCCTAGCAGAATGACAGTAAATCGGGTAGACGTTTCAGAAATGATTACACTTCGTAATTATGTACAACTTGTAATTGTTTTGTTTAGAAACCTTTCAATGGCACGCTCGTGGACTTTTTTTATGCATGTATCAGTGATTTCCAAAGTTAATAACATAATTTCATAATGAGAACAAAACTTCTTGGCCATCAGTGATCTGTCGAAGCCGTCGGACATGGATCGCGATTTCGATCTCTTTTTAGAATCCTTTTAGCACGTCGTAGATACATTCGACAGAATTTTATTTTAGTTTCATAAAAATCAATCATTGCAAGACATCGGAAAAATATTCTTATGTGTATTAAAAAATTTTATTGTAGATCACTGTATGCCTATACAATACATACATAGGTCCAGTTCAAGCATGAAAAGCAATAGTGCATGAGCAATATTCGAATTTTTACTTTGTTGCAGCAGCATTTGAGATTTCACTTACCAATAAATAAAAGTCTTTGTTGGTATCTACATGTGCGTTTCTAATACTTGAAGGAATAATTTTGTTTACTTTTTAATATTTGATTATGGGATTTATGTACCTGTATCCAACTTTTACGTTGCAAAACTTGGAAGAAACTATCAGTAGGTTTTTGATTATCCGTAGTACAGGTAGTATAACAAATTTGTGGTAGGTATGTTCGGGCACTGATTTTTTTTTCGATTATTTAATAAGGATAAGAATTTAAAAAAATTTACAGTTTCATTCCCATGTTAGACCGAATTCATTTCGTTTAAAAACATGCAACAACTTAGAGAAATATATTATGTGAAAACTCTAATGGTAATATATTTTATTTGGATTAGTAATTTTGTAATTTTCTCTCAGTCTGATTTATCTTTTTGAAAACTCCAGCTTACATATTACATACGACCATCATTGGTTTCTGCTTTTACAGTTAATAGATTTAATGTAGCAACCTGTCTCTATTAAAATTAGTTGTTGGAGAAGAAACAAATATAAAGAAATATTATTATGCATTTAGGTACTTGTTTGTATTATACTACTTTTTATTCGTATGATCGAAAATCCAAATAATTGAATGCATAAAGGAAGATTTTTGTATTAATATACATTACTGAATTGCTTATTGCAACCTTTATCATGGCTACATTACAACTAGAGTACAACCCGGATAATCGCAAATCCGTATAACCGAGGTCCAGATAATCGATAATCCAGGCTCGAAATTGAAAACGGCCCATTTCTCCGTAATTTTTTTTATATAAAATTGATGTAGGTTACGTTAAAATGAAGCCACTCAACGAAGTTTCAGATGAGTGTTAATAATTTAAAAAATATAGAGCTATGTCGTGGACTAAATTACTATCATTATCTGTGATACTTTTTTTAAGAGGGATCCCCATTTTCAGGGAAATTCGTATTAGTTTAATTAATTTTTGTATAGTAGGCACGTGGGTTGTATTTTTTTTCTATTAATTCCATTTAATCCGCTTCTCTCTTTTTATTTCAAGTTTCCGCTTTGTTAAATTATATTCTTCGCATCTGTACGACGGACGTATCTATCTAAAAATAAGTAAATAAAGAAAAGTCTCCTAGCAGCTCACGTAACTCGCAAATGAAAAGTATCTCCAGAGCCGCTGGAATATGAAAATCGATATAAAGCTCTGTGCTGCACTGAAAACGCTTTGGTTTTTGTATTTCCATTGAATTTTAAAATCCGATACTGCTGCTCCAGGTAATGAAACATGAATACGCTCAACGACATACATACGTAAATGCTGAGGTTCTTTTCAGTTTTGTTATCTGTCTTGCTTTAGGGAATTAACTGTATTTTCCGACTTGATATAGTTATTATCTTAAATGAATAATTACTAGTTACAAGCATGTGATAGCACATTAATATTAAGATTTTTAATCAGCAATTATGCATATTTTTGAAACACAAAAATAAAACGAAAACAACATAAAATTGGTTTTGCAACAGGAATTTGCGCTTTATAAAACATAGTTTTCACCAATTATGTAAAGTGTTTACTTGGATCTACAGGGCGAAAGGAAAAATTAAAGGTTCCCTTTTAATAAGACACTTTAAATAGGCATATGTATAACTAAGTACAAACAAAAAAGCTCTGGAACGTGGTACATTTTGTTTTTCAATAGCTGACATTTAATCCTTCATTTATCTAATAAAACTTTCATTTTTTTTAAGTAAAATATTATTGTTACACAACAATTTTGTAATTAATAAAAATAATAGTTTACTTATGAATTGGTAAAAGCTTTCGCGACCAGCTGATGAACTGGTGCTCTCTTGATTCGGGTCTAAAGGCCGTCGTTAGTTGGAGTTTGTTCCTAACGTTTCGCTGAGACAAGTGGCAAGTTTCTTCGGAGATCCTTCAATCTCCGATTCTGAATGTAGATGACGGCCTTCAGACCAAGAGATTATCAGTTCACTTATGAAATTCTTTATTTAAAAATAAAGATGTTTTGGCAAAAAAGCAAAAGCAATGAGGAGCTAGAGATAGCTTTAAATAAAATTGAAGCGGTATTGACAAAACAGTGTGAAAATTAATAAAAGTAAAACAAAAATACTGGTATGCAAGGGAAGAAAGAGTGGAGAAAGAGCGAATGTAAGGATAGGAGACGAAAGATTAGAAGAAGTGGCTGATTTTAGATATATAGGAAGTCAGATAAGTCAGGACGGAAGAAGTAGGAGATATATATAGCAGAGGATAGCGCAGGATCGGGTCGTCTTCAATAAAAAGAAGTCACTTCTATGCTCGCAAAATTTAGAAATACGAAAAAGATTGTTAAAGGTGTAAACGAGAGTTAGGAAGGGTAGAGGTAAACCTAAATTATATAGATTACTGTTCGCAAATTCATTCGTTTTAAGGAAATGCGAAGATTAGCTCAGGATAGGAAGGAGTGGAAATGCGTGTCCAACCAGTCTTAGGACTGATGACCTTATGATGATCATGGCCAGAAAGAAAAGGAAAGGTGTTTGTAACGCTCGAAGACCATTTAAAATTCTACCACAATTAAATCGTCGTAACAGTATCTTGAGAAACGTAAGTCTCAAAATTTTTGTTCCCTATCTTTTCACAACACTTTTAAATTACGTATACAATTTTTTCCATACCCCTATGCCGAAAATACGATACCATAATCTCCTAGATAAGAAATTGCATTTACCGATTTTTGGGAAAATATTCTAACATCCGCCGTGTGGAAATTGCTTAATAAAGAGTGAATGTGCTTTCTTACTTGGGAGGGAGTGTTGCGCTTTCGTTCTTGAAATCAGTGAAAAATATTGTACTTTCGGTAGGAGTATGGTAAAAAAAATTTATTATATATTTCGGATTGATATAACTAAGCAAGTTATAAAGAAATTTGAAATTTTTATCTTTTTATCATTGTGCAATTCATTTGTCCAAAACCGCGTCATAAAAAGAGAAATTTCCTTCATAACTGTTACGTCAATCTCTGGCGTTTTTTTACATACCTACGTATAAATTAATATCGTACTGATCCCGATTAGAATTATGTAGCTGTCTAGGTAAACAAACGGAGCAGGTATTGCAATAATATCAATCCAGAATATCACGTAATAGGGAGCTATCTTATCTGCATGTACGGTGTATCAGTAATAACGTTTTATCGTAGCAGATGAGTAAAAATTCGCATTTTTGGGGGCACGTTTTATTGTCAAACGATTTCGCTTATGTTATGAACTACGTATCT